CCACTTTCTCCTTTCAACCCCTAACTACTATACTGCCTTCAGAGGATCTGTCCTCAGTTACATGTATCATTACTCTGGGCAGTTCGTCTACCTTCAAAGTTTAATATCCACATAAGGGCTTCCAACCTTAAATTTCCAAAGGAAATGTTCCAAACTAAACCACTGCCTCTGTCCCTGTAACAAGCCAACCTGACGTCTACCCTATTCTAACCAAGCCTACCCTATTAAAACAAGATATTTCCAAACTGGATGCTAATGTTTACTATTCATATTTTTCCCAGGCAAGAAATCTTGGCCCTATCTTTATCTGTTCCCTTTCACTTGCACTAAAGCTGCTTACTTTGTCTTTCTCTTCATGACTACTATTGCTATTTATGCATTACTAACTCTAGATCAGGTTAGTATAACAGCCTCCAAATCAGTTTCCTTTACTCTAGATTCCTTCTAACGAAACCTATATGACTTTAGCTGAGTGTTCCTCAAACTCTTTGTTCAATGCATACTCTATGAAGCTTTTAGATATAGATGCCAGTGTTCTAAACATTCTAAAACTGATAATGATAAGAAACCTTGGGTAAAACAAAGGATCTGCAGCAGTACTTTTTTTTTTAGTATCATCTTCTGAAACATAAACAAGACCCTTAAAAAACACTGTAGATGCTTAATAATAACAAAAGCAGTAGCTCACATACATTGCCCATCTACTATGTGCCCTTCACTGAAATGACTGCATCAATATTGCTTTATTGTTTAGTGTTTCTGATTATTCAGCCTTTTTCCCCTCTTGATAAGAGTGGAAGTTCAAACGTCCCCAGGATAAAGTGAGCTAGACTTTCTGTGGAGTCTTGACCTTATTTATTTTACTGAACAAGCAAAGATTCTATCATAAATGCTTCTTGATTTTGTATCAGAATACATGTGACTTGGAAAAGCATAAAAATAGAACAGCAAAATATCACTTGAAAAAACAGTAAAACAAAGAGAACCTGTATAAAGTTTCTTGGAGTCAGAGTTGGTAAGTATATCAAAGCAGCTATGCTGAATGGATACAAAAGAAAAGAAAATTAAGAAATGCTCAAATAAAAACAAAAAACAGTCTGTTATCCTAATTTTTAAGATGATTTCAAATTATTTTTTCAGAAAAAATATCAACATTACATTTATTCACTCATTTTATACATTTTGGCTTTAGCTCAAAATTATTTCAATTCACAATTTGGCTTTAGCTCAAAATTATTTCTAATTCACAAGTCCCCCACCCAGTTAGTTACCTTGTTTTATGTTGTTACAGAATAATCAATCCCAAATACATACTTTTGGCTTATCCTAAACAACTGTTCTAGTTCACCTTTTGTCTCAAAGTAAGAAGAATCTGAATAACCAGTAAGTATTAATTATCTAAATTAGGCCAGTTAGTCCTTGACACTAAAATCTTCCTCTCAATCGGTAAACTTCATGATTTTTTTTTTCTAGACCTAGTCTACAGAATTGTCCTAACCTGTGTTTTCTGCTTCTTTATCAATAACACGTTTTATCTAATTACTTTTAAAGTATTATTATTGTTGCTAATAACATTAATTTTAATGTAAAAAATAATAAAGATTGCCCATAACTCCTTGACTTTGAAAACACTACTAACAGTTGTGTATGCATTTTTATTTCTTCAATTGATTTATAACTTTGTGGGTCTATGAGATATTGTTTTATTCTGTTTTGATATGAACAATAAGTAAATTCAGAGATAAAATAAAATGATGTAATTTTTAAAGTAAAGAAATATACAAAATACAAGTAAAAAAATCAAAATTAAATGGAATGGAGACTGCACTTTTACTCCTGAGAGCAGCAGCCCTTTATACATTTTTGAAATTTTTACATGAGTTCTTTTATATTTGACAAAAAGTAATTTTTATGAGAAATATTTTTTTAAATCGCATAAAGACAACTAAAAATACAAAGGCCTTTAGTTCAGTTCTCAATTTGGGATGTGGATGTACCGATCAGGCACATCTGATTAAGCAATGAAATCCCTGTTTGGAAAATAAAAACAGGTGTTTCTTAATAAACTTAGGATATATTTAAAATAAGTTTAGTCTGTGTGGAGATAAAATTTTAAAATTATGCATAGCAAAAACTAGAGAATAGATATAAGTGCAAGAATATTTTATTTACATAAACTCAATCTAAAAGAAGGTCTCATCTACAAATGAAAACTCCTTTTCTCATCACCATAGTTAGGCCTTCCTCTAGCATTTTCTTTTAGTAACTACTTCAGATAATGCAATATTGCCTTAAACACTGACCTTTACTTCCAATTTTGGCTTTACATTTCTGTAAAATGGCACAGAATCTTTAACTGGACAAGCAGTAAAATATCTAGTAAGGAGAGAAAAAGTGACAAAACACCATATTAAATCTACCCACTAGTCTTCATAGCCCTATTCACGGCTCCTCACCCCAGCTGCTCTTCACCACCAAAAGACTGGAGCAGTGAGATCATTCCCATCACAAGAGAAAACAATCTCATTTTCACTCTTCTTTCTGCTTCGTTTTCAATTCTACTACCAGAGATAAGGAAAGGCAAAATCCTATCCTCCAACCCCACACTTATTATCCAGTCCTCACTCAAATCCACTATTCCATGACTGCTTTGCCACCTTCCTTTCACCTCAACTTATTTCTTTCCCTACCATTTCGCTCTAAAAAAATCCATACCTCACATAATCCCAAGTAAGCTAATCATATTTATCCTATGGATCACCCATTCCTATCGATTTATATCCTTGTTCCTAATCCAAATTCTAGAGCTATTTCTCCCTTTGTCTTTTCCCTTGCATCCTAACATTCAGAATCAGCAACTTGAAAATGAGAAGGAAACCTATCATTCCCATAAAATATGTATAGTGCTAATGATGAACTACTCAAGCTTCAATCAAGTTATTTTAATATATTCAGGATTCAGTTCATTCATCTGTAAAAAGGAGTTGGTTTACATCATTAGTGAAAAATCTGGCTGATAAATTTACAGGACCTAGTGAGAGGGATTCTAAAACTATAGACTATGTGAGGCAGAATGCAGGAATTTTCTAAGAGGCACACAAATGAGTACATTGATCAGCCATGGCTTGGAAATGTAATTATGTCTTTGGGTCTATGCACACAATCAGGCTTTTTTCATGGAAGGCTTTTTGACAACTAAAATTTGCCTGATATAAAAAATAAAGGTGCTGAGAGGCTGCTCATTATGATTATTTAGTGTATTACCCACTGATGGGGCTTTGTGTATCCCTGGAGTAAAGCCTACAGAGGTCTAGAGCACTGATGGAATTCAGGGCATTAAAATGCCTAAAAAACAATCAAAGGTTTAGACTGTCGGGACTTTATCTGTCCAGCAGCACACTAGATCATTCACCTTTGAACCACACATATCTATTCCAGCTCTGGTAACTACCAGCTATCCAATTCTCATTATAAACAATTGTTCCTGCGGTTAATATTTGGCCTTAAAGACATGTTTAAACATGTAGAACTAAGCATGCACAAACAGCACTTGAAGAGATGAGGACACATTAGCATCGTGTTAATTTAAGTGGAACCTAATTCACTTATGAATCAATGAATGATGAATAATGAAATTGTTATAAAAAGTGCAAATGGATACTAAATTATATGCTAGTTTTCTTTAAAAATATGCACTTACACTTACACAAAATAGCATGATAAAATTGCAGGAAAGTGTTCATTTAGTTCCTCTTTTCCTCAAGTAACATAAAAATCTACAGTGAATACCATTATGTAAGTGCATTCTTTGAATATCAAGAATGATGCAATTGCTGCTATGGTAACTACTCATTTTATCGAATAAATTTTGGTTGGGATTTGAAGCACTCTTAAAAACAAATTTCGACATCTTATCTATTCTTGATAAGTCTCTATTGGCACCTATTGAATAATAACTATAAGGCAACCCTAGAACTGATTAAGCAGTCTATTAAAAGCCAGGCTAGATTTGCCCAGGAAAGACACAAAGCCACTTAGTTTTAACTTTCTAGAGTAACTCAAAAGTGTGCATAAGTGAAGAGTAACATGACCTCAGATATCTTTGTTCCTTCACTGTCGTAATTTTGCTTCTAACCTAAATTATTAACTAAGGATACAGGAGTACTGACTTTTCAGTTTGCAATTAAGCTAAACCGAAAGCCAGTTGAAAATTACCCCTTTCTCCTGAACAGATGAAAATGCTGAGAATTTTCACTGTCAAAATCTTATAAAATAGCTCTGTATAATAATCTGTATTTAAGAGGGTCACTGAAGACCCCAAGTACAAACACTCAGGATAAGCCAGTGCTACTAAGGCTCCTTCCCTCCCTTATATTCGTCCATGCCCGAGGCTCCCATGAAGGCCAGCTTCCTCAGCACCTGTCTTTAAGAGGCTACAAAACCAAACAGCATTTTAAGGACCTGCCCCAGATCTCTACATAAACACGAAGATCAAGCAAGTGAACACTGGGTGTGGGGGTTATGAGTGAAGCCTTATCCCTTTTAACAGCGAAGTGCAGTCAGCTAAAAGGCCTGCTGACTTCGCAGCCCTGGAAGCCGATGTGAAGAAGCTTCTGGGAACGGCTGTGGGCTGAGGTTATTAGGAAGAGGATCTGACGGCGAGCGAATGTAACAACAGGCTGGTCCAGCGCCAGGGAACAGGGGCAGTTAACTCAGTTTCTCTCCACTGGTCTTTCACCAATTGATTTTACTCGTCTTTCCCTTTTACCTTTGCGTCTCTCGCAGCGAGCGACCTCTACCTTCTCGGAGAAGGGTGTGCGAGCGCTGACAACACTCAGCACCCTAACTAGGGACAGGGGCTTCGACGAGCGAGGACGCGGCTCCCCCACAGGCCCGAACTCCGCCGAAGGCCCCGGCGGCGCCTGACGCGCAGCTCCCCCGCATTTCAGAGGGGATGGGGGAAAGAGGCGCCCCTCCCCCTCGCCCAGCTCGCTGTTTACCTTCTCGGTACTTCTTGCGGAGCCGGCGGTGGACGCTCTTCACTACCCCGGAGAGCTTCTCCTGCTCCAGCTTCCGCTCCTGTTCCCGGGGCTGCCGACGGCTCGGAGGCCCGGCACTCTGCTCGCGAGCAGCGCTCCGGCCGCCAGCCCCC